TCAAGAAATGAGTTGTGATAATGAGACTGTTAATGAAATAGTTTGTTAGTTTCACATGTATAATTCAACATCATCAATTATTGCCCACTAAAAATTCCATAGGCAAAACCAATAATAGTATCACTTCTGTGGTAGCATCTTTCTAGGCATTTGATGTGCCTAGATCTTAACATGAAGAATTAAGTGAAGTCTTTTGTGATTTTGTCTGAGCTTATCTTTTCAAGTTCATTTACCACTGCCCATCAGATGCCTTAAATTGCAGCAAAATTATTAGAGGAAGAGGCTCCAAACAGAAGTCACTGAAGATTTTAAGCAAAAGTCAAAAAACAATTCATAATTTAATATTTCTCATAATTATTTGTCATTTCCTGTCTCTGTTTTGGGTCCTTTTTTTGTTATTGTGTTTACAATGTACATTCATTATTCTATAGTCTATCAGTTAGCTATTGCCACAGTAATTTCATATAACAAACCATTCCCAAATTGACCCATTATTCTGCCCCCCTAGAGGGATTGTCTCAGCTGGGTTCATTTGGGTAGCTCTGCTTAACACTGTTGGTCTTACTGGCTTATTTCTTTGCTGTGAGCTTTGGGCTTAAGTCTCCTCCATGTGTTCATTCTGAGGCCAGGGTTGGAGGGGAAGCTTCTAACCAGGAGCAGTGTTCACAGTGCAAAAGAATAAACTCAACCAAACTCATTTAAAGCCTTTTCTTGCATCAGATTTGTTAATATCTCTTTAGCCATAATCAAGTCACATGACCTAGTAGTTAGTCCAGGGGTAAGATAGTACTCTCTGGTGCTTTTGGAAATAGCAGCAGAGTTATGCAGCAAAGGGTGTAGAATCAAGGGTGGTAAAAATTGGAGGCCAGAAAATCAAGACCCCATCTTCACATGGCTAAATTCCACCTACTCTTTTTCCCCCATTTTTTATTATGGTTTTAAAAAAATAAAATTTACCATCTTAATCTTTTTCAAGTTTACAGCTCAGTAATGTTAAGAATATTCACATGCTTATACAATAGCTCTTTGGAATTTTTTCCCCCCAGTGCTGGGGATTGAACCCAGGACCTCAAGCATGCTAGGCAAGCACCCTACCACTGAGCTATGCCTCCCGCCTCTAGAATTTTTTCCATCTTATAAAACAGAAATCCTAAACCCATTTTTTATATTTAAAACTGAAATCCTACTCATCCGTTGAGTAACATTGCTCCYTGTCCCTGCTACTGGCAACCACCATTCTATTTTCTATTTCTATGGTTTGATCTTTTTGTGACTGGGTTATTTCACTTAGCATAAAGTTTTCAAGTTTCTTCTTGAAAAGAAGAAAACTATGTACTATGTAAGGATTTTCTTTTCTTTTTTKGGGGGAAGGGGTACTGGGGATTGAACTCAGGGGCACTTGACTGCTGAGCCACATCCCCAGCCCTGTTTTGTATTTTATTTAGAGACAAGGTCTCACTGAGTTGCTTAGTACCTCGCTTTTGCTGAGGCTGGCTTTGAACTTTGTATCCTCCTGCCTTAGCCTCCCAAGCCACTGTGATTACAGGCGTGCACCACCATGCATGGCTATGGATTTTTTTTTTTAAGGCTGAATAATAATCCATAATGTGTATATACTGCATTTTCTTTATGCGTTCACCTGTCATTGGGCTTCTACCTCTTAGATCCTTCTACATATTTAAACATCATGGCTGAATTCAAATGCCATTTCCTCTATGGCCTCTACAATTATTCAACGGAAAAGAATTAGTCTTCCCTCTAAACTATTATTTTACTTTTATTCTTCATTATAAATGTATTATTCTCTACTTTTTATTATAAATACCTCCTTCTACTGTGGAAGGTCCTGTAGGGCAAATCTCTGTCTAATTCTTCTTTGTTACAGTAGTCCCTCCTTTTCCATGATTTTGCTTTATTTGGTTTCAGTTGTCCACGTGTCAGTCATGATTAAAAATATTAAATGGAAAATTCCAGAAATAAACAGTTTGTAAGTTTTGAATTGCATGCTGTTTTAAGTAGCATGATGAAATTTCTTACTGTCTGGTTGGAATGAGAATCATCCCTTTTTCCCATATATCCATACTATATAAGCTACCCACTCCTTGGCAATTGAGAGAGAGAAAACATGCACATAATTTATATTATGATATATTGTTCTATTTGTTCTATTTTAGTATTAGTTGTTGTTACTATCTTGCTGTGCCTAGTTGATAAACTTTTATTATAGGCATGTATAGAAAAAAAAAGTATACATAGAGTTCAGTACTATGAGATTTCAGGCATCCACTGGGGGTCCTGGAACATAAGCCCCACAGCTAGGGAAACTACTATATCCTCAATGTTTTGGCTTCTGAAAATCAATAAACTAATCATTTTAAATGAAAAGAGGTTATAGATTTCTTTTTATTGTAGTAAAATGGACAGAACAAAATTTACCATTTTAACCATTTTTAAGTATGCAGTTCTGTGGCTTTTAGTATATTTACAGTTGTGCTTTAGATTTATTTTTAATTGGACTTCTGGCTTCTCACATGCATGGGACCGGCATAGATCTTTTGAAAGGAACTCATGATGTAGATTTGAGAAAGGTACTGTTTCTCAAATGGAATTTTGTTCCTCATTAGAATATTATACAAAATTCTTTTATATTTTCCTCTATTTTGTGGAGCATGCCGACTCACCTTCCCTCATCCCTTTCCTACCTTCTTTAGAGCAAATGTTTTCTGCAAATAATTGTCAGTTTTTTCTGTATCTAGACTCTTTTCAGGCTTGCTGCTGTAGCTTAGGTATCTATTTTTGGATTACAACCATTTAACAGATTCCCCTATAATATGAGTTGTGAATAATATGAAGCACACAGAGTGGAAACAGGGAAATGATGCATCATAATACTAATCTCTGTGTCTTGGCAGACTAACATCAACATGAATTTTTAGCTCTTCTTGAAAATGAAAAATAGCTTCGACATTCACATTCATCTTTAATAAATGTCGAGCATTTAAACACTTTTAGTATGTGTTATGAAAGAGCTTGTTCAGAATTCTTTCTGAAGGTTATACAGAGAATTCATGTCCTTTCAAGGACAGCACTGGATATAAATGATGATTTCCAACTGAAAATAGTAGAAAAGTATCAGAAATATTATTTTATAGATGGTTTCTGAATTACAATGATTTGATTTGACTTGTATTTTTTCATCTTCACAATAATCCCAAAGTGATGCACATTCACTGGAAACCATATTTCAAATTGTGGATTTTGATCTTTTCCCAGGCTTCTGATATGTAGTATATTACTCTCTTGTGCTGGACACTGGTAGCTTGCCACACTCACAGCCAGTCACATGGTCACAAGGTAAACAACCTATACTCCCCAGTATACTGTTACATAGAGATGATGTTCTGTAGGTTAGGTGTATTGAATGCATTTTTGACTTAAGATATTTTCAATTGAGTATGGATTTACTGGGATATTGACATTGTCATTCAGGGAACATCTGTAGTAGGATTTTCTCCAATTGCATACCATTTTCCTCTGATTAATTGTTCCGTGTTCATGGTTCCTTGGCAGATTTTCCTTGTAGCCATGATTATAGAATATTGTGGTATTTAATGCTCATAAGCACCAAGGGGCCTGAAGACCGGAGCCTTTCATAGAATTCAATACTTTTGAGACTTATGCTACCACGTGTATGTGTGTGTGTTTGTTTGACTTCCTGAATGTTTATTCCCAAGTGTGTAATGTTTGAAGAACACAAATTAATAAACAGATAGAACACAGATTTTGAAATCTGGCTTATCTTTTGATTATTTAGTATATTATTAGACTTGACCCTCCATTAGTATTTTAACTTCAACATTTTGAGGATGTTGAGATTAAAATGTGGATAATAAATGAAAATAATGTTATTTTTATGTGAATAACTATTCTGTTTTGACATGAAAATCAGTTTCTATCTTATAATGTCCAACCTGATACGTGACTCTCCTAATCATAATCCCTTTAATGAGTATATAAATAGATTTTTTAAAAACTTTAGATATACTTGTAATGATTTTCTTCCAGTTACTTAATTTGTGGTTATTAGATATTTCTTATTTGGCCACCATTTAGCTTTTTAAAAAATATTTTTAGTTGACAATGTATATTTATWTTGTTTATTTATCTGTAGTGCTGAGAATTGAATCCATGTGCCTCATACATACTGGACAAGCACTCCACCAGTGAGCCACAACCCCAGCCCCCACCATTTATCTTTCAACCAGGATTAAATATGAAGGGAATTTGGAACTAGGATTGAATAAGGGCTGTCTAATAAATGCTGTCTGTTTTTCTTTAATAAACATTTATTGATTGTCTACTAAGTTGCATATATAGGTTTATAGCGTGTATTCTTATTTGTACAATAGGTTTAATAATGCCTCGTGGAGTGTAATAAATGACTTTATCTGTTTTATGTATGTACTCAACAGATGTTTTAATGACTTTAAAAAAATTTTTATAGTTGTAGATGGACAGCATGCCCTTTATTTTATGTGCTTATTTTTATATGCAGTGCTAAGGATCTAACCCAGTGCCTCACATGTGCTAGAAAAGCATTCTGCCACTGAGCCCCAGTCCTATCCCCTTTAGTAACATTTTTTTTAAAAATCTGTACCTCTTCAGAACCACCCTGAAAAGAGGATGCCTTGTTTTGATGATAGTTAGTCATACAATTCTCAGAATAAATAAGATAAGAAAGACTAATAGCAAATTTGATTTCTTTATTTCTAAAAAAGGTAGTCACTCTCATTTCAAAACAAAACAAAAAACAAAACTCCAGGCTATTTCCATAATATATGATGGTAACATAATTCTGAAAATAAAACAATGTGGAATTCTTTCATCTTTCTTTCCCTGTTCTCAAAATAATAATATTTTTTGGCCATGTGGGCTTTTTTTTCAAGGTAGGAAACATCTATGTGGAGTAATGTTCCCCTGATTTCTAATCTCTCCTGTAGGTTTCATCACCCAATCCTCAGCCCTTTGGAGAGCAGTTTCCAGCTGGAAGTCGATGTTCTGAGTCATCTCCTGAAGGCCCAGGCCCAGGTCTCAGAGTGGAAGTTCCTCCCATCTCTGGTTAACTTGCACAGTGCTCACACTAAGCTTCAGACTTGGGGCCAGATCTTTGAAAAGCAGCGGGAGACGAAGAAACATCTGTTTGGAGGGCAGTCTCAGAAGGCTGTTCAGCCCCCACACCTTTTCCTTTGGYTGATGAAACTCAAAAACATGCTCCTGGCCAAGTTTAGTTTTTACTTTCATGAGGCACTGAGCCGGCAAACGACAGCTTCAGAAATGAAAGCATTGACTGCAAAAGCTAACCCAGACCTGTTTGGAAAGATTTGCAGCTTCATCAGGAAATATGATGCTGCCAACGTGTCCTTAATTTTTGACAACCGAGGTTCAGAGAGCTTTCAGGGTCATGGCTACCACCACCCCCATTCCTACAGGGAGGCCCCTAAGGGTGTGGACCAGTATCCAGCCGTGGTGTCTCTGCCCAGTGACAGGCCAGTCATGCACTGGCCCAATGTCATCATGATCATGACAGACCGGACAACAGACCTGAACAGCTTGGAGAAAGTGGTTCATTTCTATGATGACAAAGTTCAGAGTACCTACTTCCTTACCCGCCCAGAACCTCACTTTACTATTGTTGTCATTTTTGAGTCAAAAAAATCTGAACGAGACTCCCACTTTATTTCCTTCCTCAATGAGCTCTCACTTGCCCTTAAGAACCCCAAAGTTTTTGCAAGTCTGAAACCTGGATCYAAAGGTTAGCCAGTGATTTGTGTAAGAGATTTTTAAGACTGGAATTTGTGTTCTTAATTGCTCTGATGATCTGCAGTGGTATGTGGCAAGAATTTAYGTCCATTCATGCTTCTTTCAGAGCAGTATTAAAGACAAATCCTCCCTAATTGTGTTGTACACTTTGTAAGCAATTAAGGCCAGTTGAATTAAGTATCCAAAGAGTAATCTGGGAAGTGATCATGGACTGCTGTGTATCTCCACTGTTCAGCAAAGTAGTTCCAGTATTTTCTCCTGTATTTTTCCTCTATTTTATGTGGACTGGACATTTTCTGTCATTGCAATTAAAGGTGAATCGGATTTGTAGCATAATGTCAGCTTTTAACAGTTCAGATGATCCTCCTTGCAACTCTAATGGCCATTGGTTCTTTTGGAGTGATCTATATGTCAAACTGCATTTGTTTTGCCTTTTTAAAGTTTGAAGTTTTTATTGTTTTAAAGTCAGCGTAAACCATYGTGAGGTTTCTTCTTCGTACTATCTCTTTGACTATTATCACTTTTTTGCTGAAATCTATGTTCATCTTTGGCTCTACTCCCTGGTTATTTTTAGGCTCAGAAAGTATCAGTGTTGGTTTTTCAACCACTTTAGCTTCTCATACAATGTGCCCTGCTTTTATAAAATCAAAATGAAGGTCTTGATGCCTTGCATTTGCTAAAAATCAATTGTGCTTTCAGAAGACCTCTTCATAGTTGAGTAATTAACTGAGTACTTAGCACATCTGAACTTGGGTTTCATGTCTGCCTCCTGCAAATTATGTTTAGTAGCAGTGCTACATCTTAACACTGTCTGCCTCATCATTTTCCTTCAGTAGGTGTTCATGGAGAAGTCAGTGGAATAGTAAAGGCATAATGGACTCTGAAATCCTTCATTTCCGTTACTGTTTCAGAGTAAAAAGGAACCAGAAAGAATAACCAAGTTGTTACTACTTGGTAGTTCTTTCAAAGTTTGTGTAAAATGTTACAGCCAGCTGAGTGCTGTTTCTCATGATTATGCAGACCCACTGTTGCACTGTGTGTCCACAGAGGACACACCAGTAACATCAGCAGAGCCGGGGAGCCTCCAAGTCAGTGGGAGGACTGCCCACCTAGTCTGGATTTCCTGGTAGAAGAACMCACCCGCCTACTTTCTGGAGAGAACATGTGTTTTTCTTTATTTCTCTCTCATCATATGATTTGTAAAAAGCCAGTTTGCTTTAAATAGAATGTAGTGATTTATCTCTGCATTTTATTCACTCAGGTTCTATAAAAATATGAACAGATTTTACAACATTGACCTTACTTAAAAAATTRAAAACAGTTGGAACTAAAGAGTCAAATCATTTTTCTTCTTTTTTTGTACTTTGCCAAGTAACTGAAAAATATTCCTTGGTGTTTGTGTATTTTTTTCCCCTGGGTAAAACCACCATGAGCCTTAATGATAGGGCTCCCCCATGTACCTAAAATAATATGTGCTTCAGTGGAACACAAAGGGGTGTAAATAAAACATATRTGACACTTAAGCTGTCAAATGCATACATATTTGAATTGTATGTTTATTTTTTAAACAAAAAAGAATTTACAAGGAACAGAAGGCAGATGTAAATATTAAAATCTAAGACAATTCATGAATCACTGCAGCTGTCATAGACTGTACTGAGGGATTCTGAAGATTAAATATTGATATTCTAATGATTTCTTAAATCCTCCAAAAAAGTTTTCTTATTATATTAAAAAACATTTTGGTTCAAGTGAAGAGTCATTTTTACTCTCAGGTTTATCCTCTAACTACAGTAAGAAGATGATCTCTAACACCTGTGTTTTTCTAATTGGAAGAGTAAATCTGCACATTCCCTGCCGACTATCTACTTTGAAATTCATTTCTAAAACCACAACCTTATGATTTTCTGGGTAGCTGGGAGCATGGTCAGCACCAAGTCTGCCAAAGAAGTCCCTTAAGGAATGTTTCTTTTGAGGGTTCTGTTTGGACATAGGGTGAATGTTTACAGCTTTGTCCTCTCAGGTCCAATCTGTTATCCATACATCATTTTGGGTAGTGTGTGTGTGTGTGTGGGTGGGGGGGAAGCCTACTTTTTTTTTGTTTTTTAAAGAGAGGGAGAGAATTTTTTTAATATTTATTTTTTAGTTTTTGGTGGACACAACATCTTTATTTTATTTTTATGTGGTGCTGAGGATCAAACCCAGCGCCCTGCGCATGCCAGGTGAGCATGCTACYGCTTGAGCCACATCCCCAGCCCAAAGCCTATTTCTTAACTGAGGAGCCAATATGCTTTTTATAATTGCTTTGTACTTTTGGACATATTGGGAAAATTTGCTTTCAAGAAATAATTGGTCCTTCACTGTACTCCCAGTGGATTCAATCAGGTGATCTTTAAACCATGTCCACCTTTTTGATCTAGCAGCTGATTTATGGGTTGTATTTCTTTGGCAAGTTAGCTTCTGAGTTCAATTTCTCTTTCTGTAAAATAGGATATGAAAGCATGGGTTGCCGTTTTCAAGGGATAGAGTAAGACTGTCATGAGATCATTCATATAAAAAAGACTTTGAAAACTAGTGTTCAAAAGCTGTATAAATAAAAGATGAGCCCCTCTTCCCTTAAATTTGACATCTCTCCTTTTTTTTTTCTTTTTAAGTGTATGACCAACCTATGCTTACATATGAAATTTGAATAGCATTTAAAGAGCTAGTTTAGAAGAGGAGGCAGATAAATGCCTAACCAACACATCCACTCTTCCTCTTTTAGAATCTTTGTGGTTCTTTATTCCCAAATTTTTGTGGTTGGTTGATAGCATTGTTTCAGTTATTCTCTATTAACTCATTTTTTTAGGGGTCTGATTGATCAATCAGTTGTTGAGAGAAGTGTGTTAAAGTCTTCAACTGTGGGCTGGGGTTGTGGCTCAGTGGTAGAGCACTTGCCTAGCATGTGTGAGGTACTGGATTTGATCCTCAGCACCACGTAAAAATAAAGAAAGATATTGTGTCTAACTACAACTAAAAAACTTATTTTWAAAAAAATCTTGAACTGTGATTATGGATGTGTGTCTTCTAGATAGTTTATATCAGCTACAATCTGGTTATGTTCTAATTACATTTTTCCATTTTTATTAGCCAGAGTATATTTACAAAGAAAAATTTCATCTCCCAATATTTGGTTACCTTGAAGTACAATTATATAGGAATGGCTTGGTAAATCTGATTTTTCCTTTTGCCTTTTTTAAAATAGTGAATTAGTTCCTTAGCATCTTCCAGAGAAGCTGTAGAATTTTAAAAGAAACATGAATTTTTAAGGATTTTTGCCTCTTATGTTTAACCTCAAATTTGAAGCAAAGCAGCCATTTTCCCCTCTCACCTCAAGATACTTCTGTATAAATATTATGAYTTTCCCTTTTTTTCTCCCGGTTCTGTCTTCATTACTGTTGAGTATTTTCCTCCACCTTTCCTCGTCCCTCTCTCCATTTCCCTTTTCCCTTCCTTCCTCCCTTAGTTTCTGATATTGCCCTCACCAATTCCACTCCACTCACCACCCCCACCCATGTCTCAGGGAGCCAGAATATGCCCCAGTGGTCTCTGACCTACTTTGGGGAAGTAGCATCTGGAAGTATTCGTTTTGATTGATTTTACAACCGGGTCATCTTTTTCAGTAAGTAAGAATATGTATTGGGGTGTGTGTGTGTGTCAATTTTGACACTAATGGGGTGAACACAATGAAGCCTAGCCACTTTGAGCACACAGGACCTTTAGCCAACTAAGCCAAGCAGTGCTGTTTGTGTCTAGCAGATAATTTGGCCTAATAAATATTTCCAAGAGTAGTTTTTCTATGTAATGTTTTATTAGGATCAYTCTTATTCTATTTGTTTTAATTACTGTGTGAAATCATTAAATTAGCCCCTGATTTTTTTTTCTTTAAGGAAAAAGTTATTTTTCTCCTTTCTTAGTGAGAAAGAAGGAATACCATGTGACTCCCCAAGAAAGCCCTGTAGGTAGAGTTTAATTTAGCAATTCCCTCTCTACTTTTCTACCAGGTTCCTGTTACCAATGCAATTATTTCATGGCCTTTTGTCTGAATTATTCTAAGCAGCTTCTCCAGAGGAAATGAGTCAGAAGAAATAGGCTTGACGTGCACTTCTGCCTGTAGAGACTTTTCTTGGTATCACATAAATCCATAAGGCTTAATTAATGCAAGTATTTTGACTGTTTGCATATTTTTTCAGTCTGCTTTTGATGACAAGGTCTGTTTTTGGGGTACTTTACATTTAAAACCATATGGTATGTGTAAGATATCAGGTTAGAAGATGGAGAGACAAATGGGCTCCTTTTCCTGTAGCTCTCTAACATCCAGGCCTGGAGGTGGTACTCTTAGCCCTGGTATAACTCAGGGAGGGTTCTCAGGAGCAACTGTATGGGAGTACATTCTGAGAGGGGTGCTTAGCACACAGTGGCAGCAGCAGAAGAATGTAGGATGGCATCTGCTRTTGACCTAGGAGAGGAAAATAGTTGAAGGTTTTTGCTAACTTTGTCCATAAGGTGAATTCTGCTTTTGCTMGTCTGGAAACAACAAGAGAAATTCTGGAATGCAGTTAAATTAGAAAATCTGATAAGTGGTGTGATCTGAGACTTACAGTGACTCAGCTGGTTGACATTCTAGGTTTTAGGCCTAGGCTCATTTCTTTTTTGAACAGGCATGGCAGTACAGGACACTCCTTTCCCCCAGGGTCATCTTGGTCTTAGTTACTCCAGGGTAGGCCAGTGTTGGAGCTGCTCTCCTGACCCACCGCCCSCAGCAGAAGACGACAGGATATGAAACAACTCCTTCCTAGTGTTCAGCATTCATTCATTTAACAACTATTAAAAATTGACCATGTGAAGGGTGGTGATAAAAGTTAACGAAGGGCTGGAGATGTGGCTCAGCGGTAGCGCGCTCGCCTGGCATGCGTGCGGCCCGGGTTCGATCCTCAGCACCACATACAAACAAAGATGTTGTGTCCGCCGAGAACTAAAAAATAAATATTAAAAAAATTCTCTCTCTCTCTCTCTCTCTCTCTCCTCTCTCACTCTCTCTTTAAAAAAAAAAAAAGTTAACGAAGACCAATGTGATTCTTTGCTTGGTTGGTGCTTGTAGTTAAGCAGTCTGGCTCCAACCACCCAGGTAGCCACGAGTGGCGAGGGCTGTAACCAGTGAAGTGCTGAATAGCTTTTATTTTATTATTTTTTAAATTTTTATTTGTTCTTTTTAGTTATACATGACAGTAGAATCTATTTTGATATATTTATACAAACATAAAATATATCTTATTCTAATTAGGATGTATGTGATGTTGAGATTCACTGTGGTGTATTCATATATGTACATAAGAAAGTGATATTTGATTCATTCCACTGCCTTTCCTATTCCTATCTTCCCTCCCTTTCCTTGATTCCCCTGTGTCTAAACCACAGAACTTCTATTCTCCTCATATTACTCAGTTATAAAGAAGAATGACTTTGTGACATTTGCAGGTAAATGTATGGATTTGGAGACTATCATGCTAAGTGAAATAAATCAATCCCAGAAAAACAAAGGTTGAATGTTCTCTCTGATGTTTAAATGATAACCCACTGAATAGTCTTTAAATTTGTGGCACTTGTATACCTTCCTATGGAAAAAAAACCCTAAAATTATTATTTTGTTTAGGGAATAGGGTATGGTATRTTTCAATGGTAGATTGCATGCATGAAACCCTGTGTTCAGTCTCTAGCACTGTCAAAAAACTGAAATCATTTTGTTTCACCCCAAAAATGGGTTTTATTATATACTGCAATTATTGATATTAAAATAAAATGTTGATTTCCCTTCTAAATGTGTGTGTATACATATACATACATATATATAAATGTTGTGTTACCATAGGTTCTAAGAGCTAATGACCAAATGATATATATATGCATTAGAAAATATAATATATGCTAAGCATAAAAGTTACATTTAATTTGAAATATATCTTCAAATGAATAGGTATGTTGTTTATGGTGACTTGATTAAAGAAATTGTCTCAATGTTCCTTTCTTTGGTGAACAGGAATTTTTACATCTTGCAATAATACCCCATATTAAGAACAAGGAATCCTAATTTTTTGGTCTCCCCCTACTTGTTGGCTAATAAGCTATCCTGCCACAAACATGGATGTTGGCAGAAGACAAGACAATTATTATAGTCACAGTAGCAGGATTGTCTCTACAGGGAAGAAAGACACTCTTCCAAGGATGCTTGCTATACAGACATCCCTGAAGGATGGTCCTGAACTAAGAGCAGTCAGTGCTTCATTCTCAAGGCCTACAGAAACATGAGAACCCCATGGAAAATTGTCTGCACATACATCATCATAAACTTATGGGTGAGAGATGAGCTTGTGTTCATGTAGGAGAAGGTAGAAGACATGTAGCCTATGAATGGCACCTTCACAGGMTTATTTTAGCAAAGAGTTCATAAGGAAGTTGAGGATGTGAAATTGATTTCCATAAAATGATCCCTGTTCTTATATTTCTTGAAAAGTACTCACATACCCCCAAATAGAATTGTGAGTTGAAGTTTACTATTAAAGACAYTTATAGGTGAATCTGGGTTGCTGGTCTCT